CAGTAATGGTGGCCACTTGATTATTGCTTGCCTCTGATCGAGAAGCTCTAAAGGACTTCAAAACTGGGCTTCAAGGTCATGGCAATGTGTTATCTTCTGTATATGAATGCTCCGTTTTGAACTTTCTTCCCCCGGGGGGGGGGGACATATACTTTACGCGTGAAAGTGGGGCCACATGTAATGAAAGCTCAATTATAAGACTAATGTCATGACGTTATAGCTATGTGGTAGTTGATTTTATTACGTTACTGCATTTTCTCATATCGATGTCTTAATGAAAGTTCAGTTCAGGACCACTTAACAAAGAATGAAAGACAGATTTATCCTCTTTAAGTTTCTAGGAGGAGTAGGCTGAAAATGAGAGCCCCTGCTTTTACAGGTAATGTGGCATGGCGACTTCTAGTTAATGAAAACCATGAGTATGCACTCCAAAAAAAAAAAAAAAAAATCTTTTACCGATCACCATGTGGATGTTTACAACACGAGGGTGTTATATATGCGTGGACCTATGTCTTAGCATGTGTGCTGCACAAATATAGTATTGGTTTAGGCTTACAGCATATGTAGCAACTTTTACTGAATGATAGTACACTTGACATATTTTGAACATGTGAATATAAATTTTTCTTGTGGAACTCCAACTCGAAATCAAGTGCTTGGCTCGTAATTCTCTTAGAAAATATTTATCTTATATTTTTTGAAGTGTCTGGTGAAGTTCTTCATTAAAGAAGGGAAAAACCAAACTCTTTGTGAATGCCTGTCAAAACTCAAAACTGATCCTCTATAATGTGGGAAGGAAGCAGAACATTATAACTTTCTTTTCCGAGCAGAAATACATGCGGTCTTTATTGTACTTTTGTGAGATCTCCAATCATTTAACGCAATAATTCAGGGGGGGGGGAATCATTTTTAAACATGATCTTTACGCGCACCAAATGGGAAAATGCAGAAGAAGGTGATGGGTAATTTCCTTCGAACAAAAAACTAGTTCCCCAATAACTCTTAACGTGCTTCTCAAGGTGGGTGTTGACTATCATTTTCAGCTGTGGACCATGGCTATATAGTTGATTTTATACGATACTGTTTTTTTCTCATCCCAATAATGTTCAGTTGGCGACCGTTTAACACGGAACAAGAAGGAATTTTATCGATGTTCCACGTAAACAAAGGTTCTGCTATATATATGCTACTGAGATGTGTAGCTTTGATCTACAACCACAGCTTGCCAGAGATAAAGTTACTTCAATGGGAAAACTACCAGTAATTGAGTTGTTCTTACTCTCGCTTTGCCTCTTAATAATCTCAGTTTTTGTGGGGAGCAGTGATGGCCACTTGGTTTCTTGCCTGGCCCCTGATCATGAAGCTCTCATGGACTTCAAAACTGGGCTTCATGATCCCAATAATGTGCTATCTTCATGGAGGGGCAGTAACTGTTGTGAATGGCATGGAATAGGGTGCGACAACAGTACAAAAGCAGTTGTTGCCGTTGATCTCCACAATCCGTACGGGTTTGAATTTTCATCTGATGACAGGTACGCGTTCTGGAACTTGAGCGGCGAGATAAGACCATCTTTGATGAAGCTCAAGTCATTAAGGCTTTTAGACTTGAGTTTTAACACCTTTGATGGCATATCAATACCTGAATTCTTTGGTTCATTGGAGAATTTGCAATATCTGAACTTGTCAAATGCTGGTTTTAGTGGCCTCATTCCTGCACATTTGGGAAACTTATCTCACTTGAAAGTTCTTGATCTTGACAAGAGTGTCGACTCATCGAATGAATTGTGTGCTGATAATTTCCAATGGATAACTGGCCTCGTCTCTTTAGAACATCTTGTTATGAATCGGGTTAAACTTTCGTTGGTGAAAGACTGGGCTGGTGCATTAAATCAACTTCCTTCTATCGTTGAATTGCATCTATCTGGTTGTTACTTGTCTGGTTATTTTCCATCAGTGCCTTCTTTGAATTTTTCTTCACTTGTTGTCATGGATCTTAGCTTAAACAACTTCTATTCAAAGATACCCGATTGGCTTGTAAATATAAGTAGCTTGCAACATATTGATATGACAGTAAGTAACCTGCATGGAAGAATACCGCTTGGTCTAGGAGAAATGCCAAATTTAGTGTCGTTGGATTTAAGTTACAATGATAATCTTACAGCGAACTGTTCCCAACTCTTCCAAAAAAGATGGGAAAAGGTACAAGTTATTGATTTTGGAGAAAACAAGGTGCATGGAAAACTCCCCCCGTCTTTGGGAAACATAACTTCTCTCGCTCAACTTTATCTTGATTCTAATGCTATTGAGGGTGGTATTCCCAGCTCTATTGGAAAACTTTGCAACTTGAATAGATTTTCTCTATCTGAAATTCTTGAAGGAACACAAGCTTGCCCTATTAAGAAACCTTTACATAATTTGCAATATTTTTATTTGGGCAGCAATAAATTGGGTGGTAAAATCCCATATTGGATAGGTCAACTAGAAAATATGGTTAGTCTTGACCTTAGTGATAATTTGTTTCAAGGACATATCCCTACTTCTTTCGGATCGTTGCGAAATCTTATTAGCTTGAACCTTCAAAAGAATAAACTTGATGGGACGCTTCCAGAAAGTTTAGGACAACTTTCTTCCCTATCAGAACTTGATATTTCTTCTAATCAATTAGGAGGCATAATATCTCAAATTCATTTTTCAAAGCTGATCAATCTGAATGTCCTAGACTTATCCTCCAATTTATTCATTGTGAACTTCAGCTCCAATTGGATGCCTCCATTCCAAGTTGAAATTCTTATAATGAGTTCATGCATCTTGGGACCTTCGTTTCCATCTTGGCTCCAGTCACAGAAAGAGATAAAAACTTTGAACCTTTCAAATGCTAGCATTTCAGATTCTATACCAAATTGGTTTTGGATGAGAATGACTAACTTTAATTTCTTATCTCTTTCCCAAAATCAATTTTCTGGACAAATACCAAAGTCTATATGGGAGAAGTGTGATTCTCTTCTCACCATTGATCTTTCAAGCAACAACTTCATGGGAAGGATCCCTTCAAGCCTTGCAAATTGTTCTATATTGGATGAACTAGACCTTAGCAGTAACAACTTGTCTGGGGCTATTCCAAATTCCTTAGGTCAATTGCAACAGCTCAGATCATTGCACCTACGTGACAACCGGCTCTCGGGAAATTTACCACCATCGTTCATGAACTTATCCTCTTTGCGGACCTTGGACCTTGGTAACAATGAACTTTTTGGTGGAATTCCTTCTTGGATTGGAGACGGATTTGGCAATCTTGCAATTCTTGACTTAAGATCCAATGCATTCTTTGGAGAAATACCTCATGAGCTCTCAAAACTAAGTTCATTGCAAGTCCTAGATCTTGGGGAGAATGACTTGAGCGGTAAAATTCCAGCCAGCTTTGGTGATCTTAAAGCATTGACCCCAAGAAAAAGAGGTTTAATGGAGGCAGATGTACAATGGATCGATACAAGCCAGATACCATTAGCTGTGTTAAGAGGGTCAAATCATGATGGAGGGAAATATCAAGAGAGGTTGGTTGTGAATGCAAAAGGCCAATCATTGACCTACACCACCACTCTTCATCTAGTCACTAGCATAGACCTTTCTAGAAACAACTTGTCTGGAAGAATTCCCCATGAATTGACAAAACTATCCCTTCTAACCTATTTGAACCTATCAGGAAATCACCTAATCGGCAGCATTCCAGAAAGCATATCAAATATGATTCAGCTATCATCCCTTGATCTCTCAAGTAATCAACTCACTGGGTCTATTCCTCAAAACTTGTCTTCCTTATCATTTTTGGGCTACTTGAATTTGTCCTTCAACAACCTTTCAGGTCCCATCCCTTACACAGGTCACACAACAACTTTCGAAGCATCTTCATTTGTTGGGAACCCTAATCTCTATGGTTGTCCCCTTCCTATAAGGTGCCTACCTCTTGTTGATGGTCATGTCAATGGTTCTAACAGGGAAGCATGCAACGATGAAGCAGATGATTCTGATGGGCTCATTGATAAGTGGTTTTACTTGAGTGTTGGATTGGGATTTGCTACCGGGCTTTTGGTACCTTTTCTCATATTAGCAATGAAGAGATCTTGGAGTGATGCTTACTTTGATTTTTTGGAAGTGGTCATTGTAAAATTTCTTGTTTTGTTGCGTAGAACAAGAATCAATCATGGCCGCAATATCAAGCCTCGTCACAGATGATAGTTTTAGAGGTATTTTCATTCTCCTTCTGTCTGCGTATAATCCTGACTCTTTATGCTTCTGGCTATAGTATGTCTCTTTCCATTATTGGTAGCAAGAATTTATTTGGTTACTGACTTTACTGCAGGGAGTGTTTGCAAGGAAGTGAGCTTGATTGGGTGGATTTCTGTGCCATCACCTTCTTTTTCCTCTCTATTGGAACTAGACAAGTGCTAGGAGCTTCTGAAATGTTGCTAAGTTTAATGGATGCGTTGCTTCTTCTATTTTGTTTCTTTGTTTCTGTTGTTTTGTTTATTGTTTGTCTTATGGACTTCATTTCTGGGTGTTTTGTTCTTTTTTACCTTTATGTTAATCCAGCAGTGTTTGATGTAAAATTAAAAAAAATTGTTGCTTGTTTTGTGATAGCTGAAAGTTATTGATCCCGGAAGGTACCTGCACATGGTTCATGAAAGTCTCTCTCTATATTTTTTTCATTGAAGTTTATTTTTTAAAAATGTTTATACTACATACTATAGAATTTGTGGGTTTCTTCAAACACCAAGACCAAGATGAAGGCACTGTTGGGTCAGTGAAGAGAACGACAAATACAAGAATGAACGGAAAATTGAATAACTGTATATCTCTGATGCGCCTTCTAAATCAGTTGTAGTGAATAACTTACGTAGAAAAGGTGTTCTACATTGGGCATAGAAAGTAATTTATTTTTAAAAAATGAAATTTTATTTTATCCTTTTTATACTGATGTAAGCACCATACAAGAAGAGCCAAATATGGTAGCAAGATCAGGTCTTGTTACAAATATGGGAGGTTTTTCCCCAACTTTAGCGCATCTTATGTAATACCGGTCGAAAATTAGTGATGGGTAAAATTTAGTCTAAAATATAAGATCTTAATTAATTTTGTCTTTTTTATTTATCCAAACTAACTGATTATATATGTTAAGGTAGTATGCATGCAGGGGTAGTTTTAATCCAAATTATTTAAGGAGGTACTTTATGAAAACTAATACATATTTTTAACAAATAACTAATTTAAATACTTTTTTTAATATATTCAAATTAATTAAGTAGGTCTTATATTAAGGATCAGATTTATCTAATTTAGGTAGATTAATGAAGTAGTTAAATTACTTATTTATGAAAGATATGTGTTGGTTTCCTTATAAATACTCCTTCGGTCCTAAATATAAACCTATTTTATAGTGTAAATTATGTTATAAAATGAGTCTCATATTTAGGACTAGAGAAATACCATTTTAAATCATTTGGACTGGAACTACCTTTAATGCAAACTCACTTAACTTATACAATCAATTTGGTTAGTTTGGATAAAAAAATAGATTAAAGTCTTATACTTAAGAACAAATCCAATCATCTACTTATTCTTATATTAAGGATTGAAAGTGGTAACTATCAAGAAGCTTTATTATCTCTTTGAAATTTTAAGAGAAAATACAAATAAATTGAAGATCAGGAAATAGTGTTGATAATAACTTGCCATTCACATTTAAAATAAAGTTCAAAAAATAATTTTTTGAGGGCCAAATCCCTTTTTTTCCTAGTGCTACAAAGGGCAGCACTACTATGCTATCGCTTTCTTCCTTGTGGAGAGCTAGGGCTCATGGCTTTTTTTCTTCTTTAGTAACTCCCTCCTCTCTCATTGCTCAATCCAAATTCCCCATTTTCTCCATCTCCTCATCACCATCCCGATAAAGAAGAAGAATCTCATCTCCCTTCTCTTCTTTTTGCACCGCTTCTACTGATGAAGCAGTGGCGGAATCCGTCGCAACCACTTCCGGTGATGCTTCTTGTAACAATGGAATAAATGTTAAGGACGCCGCCGGCTTGCTTGACACAATGGTTGGGAGAATTCTCGGGGGTGGAAACACAAGGAGGCTGACTCTCTTTATGTGGAAGAGGTGGATATTGGTGAGCCAGAGCCCAGAGTCATTGGCAGTGGCCTTGTCAAATACATTCCTCTTGACCATCTTGAGGTAATTTTTCGATGTCAGCTTGTTATAAGGCTTGATTGCTGAGCCTTTACTAGTAGCTAGTAGCATTCATATTTTGATAAATGAGAAAATTGTTGTTTAAAATTGATAATTTGATTCGTACTCAATGTCTTTGGCAGCTGTCTTCCTAATTTCTCTACCTTAGAAAAATGGGATCTCTGTTTGACATTCTTACACCACATGGATCGGAACACACACGCGCTCGCACACACACAATAATTAAAGAACAGTGAGCAAGATATATCTTGCACAGTGATTTTGAAGTTTTAATAATAATTATAAAGAAAAAACTGCAAGATGCATCTTGCACTGGTCTTCCATGTCAATTTGTCTTCTTGGACTTAGTAAGGGCGTTTAGAGAAGAACAGTTATTTTCCGTACTTTACTTTCAAAGCCTGTCCTTTGTTGCTCCTTGAAATGAGAATCCTGTTTTTTTTTTAACAAAACAGAGGCCATTTTATTAATAACCAAAATGAGAATCCTGTTAGCAAGACGGTTTATGTTCTGCAAATAATGCATGAGTTGATGGCTTAGACAGATTCTTTCTGCTGGACTGGAGTAACTGTTTTTAAATCGAAAATGATGTTTGGGAATTGAACTTGAAGTCTGACATTGTTCAACGTGATAAATAATTCATATATGCAGGGCAAAAAAGTAATCGTGCTTTCCAATTTGAAGCCAAGGAACATGCGTGGTGTCAAGTCTTCCGGCATGCTCATGGCTGCTTCTGATGCCAAGCATGAGAATGTTGAACTTCTTTTTCCTCCTGAGAAAGCAGCCCCTGGGGAAAGAATATGGTTTGGATCAGAAGATGAAAAGGAAAACCAACCTGCTCCTGCGACTCCTAATCAGGTAATAGCTCTACTTTTATTACGTGACAGCTTTTTCCAATGCGGATAAGTTCTATAATTTAGGACAATGATTTTTTTACTGCTAAAAATATCGGGATAAGTTTATTCTTGTCAGTTATGGGCAAATTTTGTTGAGACATAAGAATAGTTGTCACTTTTGCATAATAGAAAAGGCACTAGCAGCTCCCAAATTTTAAGCTCAGACACTGATTGCTTTTCTTTTCATCCTCTCAGATCCTGATATTACCTGTTGACTTTTCTTTCACATATTCATCTGTACTTCCTGATTTTTGTTATACATGATACTTTGCCATCTTAAATATGGGGCGATTTTTCAATTGAATCACTGAATTTTATTGTTCGATGAGCCTCTCTTTCTGGGCTGTGTTGATGAAATGAGATCCATAACTATTTGGAATTGGTTTTGATGTTGCAACGAAGAATGAATCACATTCTAGAGTTTAGGAATGAAGATCTAGGAACCTGAATAACAACAGGGCATTGAAAGAAATGAGTGAGACCAATTCCGTTAAATGAATTCTGGAATTGACTAGCATAAGCATAGTAATTCCAAAGAAAATGACAGTATAGTCTTGGAGGGACCTATTATCTGACTTGTATCTCTCCTACTCCAACAAGCTCTCAACGTATTGCAAAAAGTTCATAGCAAACTATGCTATGTATAAGCTATAAGCAACGCAATTCATTTATCAAATTTTTCACAGTAGACAAAAATATGTCTAGTTCAGCTGAAGGAAATGAAAAAGTGATTAAATTTCCTACATAGTATACTGTTTCTCTGTTATATCTAGGTAATTTATCAGTGATCTCAATCCCATGTTTCGATGCCATATTTACTATTCTTCTGTGACTACCTGCAGATTCAAAAAAAGAAGACGTGGGAATCCGTACAGCCTCATCTTAAGACAGATGCTTCTTGCATAGCAATGGTTGGGGAGCATGTAATGCGGACATCTGCAGGTGCAGTGGCATGCCAATCATTGCAGAATGCAAACATTTCCTGATTCTGTTGGGAACATCATTTTTTATTTGGTCAAGCAATGCTTATTGATATGCATGTATTTCTCACATTGCAATTTTGCTGGATGTGTGAAAGTTCAAATTGTATGTACTATAATATGGATACGTTGCATGGTTAATAAGGAACTTTAGCATTCTTTGGCAAATAGGGCAAACTAACTGTATACTTGCTCGTAAATTATAGAGAGATTTCAAAACATACTGGATTTCTTTCACTTGTGAAATTTGAACTGAGGAAGCAGGTTGATACTTCCATGACTTGCGTATCAAGAAAGCAACAACAGGGAGGGACAGATGGCACCATCGGAGAAAAAGAATAATGTTGCAATGAGGCAATCAATCAGAGATAGAAAACCCCCCATAAAAGCTAGCTTATTATGCCATTCCATGATCAACCTTACTGTCAGAAACCATCGGCAATATGGTTTGGCTAGGATCCTACAGAGAATATGTTTTTCATGTTGCGTTTGTTTTATGGTTGATTAGGTTTTATACGGGAGAATGACCTATAGAGATCATGGAAACACTGGAGAACCACGGATTTATGAAATTACGGACAAGAACCAAGATTACAAAAATAAAGATGTCTGGTTTCTCATTTCTAGTCTTATGTGATCAACCTTACTGCCAGAAATCATTATCTGTTTGTTTTATGTTTTATTGGGTTTTATTTTATTCTAACCTGCAGTTTTGTCAAGACTAGTCTTATATGAGCGTGATGATTCGTACCAAGAAGGTCATCAAAAGAATGTGGGAGCGAGCTCTATCCTCAGAGAGAGATCTTGTTTTGATTTTCACAGTGGGTAGGCTGTAATAAAGGACATTTTAGATACGTGTATTTTGCATATTGAGATGTCGGTAGTCGAGCTGCTTGGGAAAAGAAAATCTAAGACGCTTGGAACTTCAAGTCATTCAAAATGCGCTAGCATCTTTATTAAACACATGTTTGAACAGTGACTTGATCATGGGTTTAGTGCCTGCGCCGAAACTAATTACATAATGAGTCTCGTGTTTATTGTGATGGAACAGCAAACAATAATTTTTAGGGAGAATTACGTTGAGATCTTAAGAAAAAAATAATTACAAAAGTAAGTTTTAAAAATTGTTATTTTCTATTTTGGAACTATTTAAGTTGTTGTTGAGATTTTTTAATAATTATTTTTTTCTTTAAGATCTTATTATAATTCTTCCTAATTTCTATATCAACAACGGAAGTACAACAAAAAATGCAGATTCCTTATAATATGGTGGAGTAAGATTCAAAGCCTTGTTGAAAAATGTTACGTTTGGGTCCCATTTGACCTGAAGCATTGAAAATAAGGGACAATTTTTACGGGAACGACTCGAGAAACAAGCAAGATTGATCTCCTGATCTCTTCCAAAACGCTGTCGCTTGCTAGTCTGGAGCTGGACCTCAACCCAGAGTAGCCTCACGAAAACAATCTGAAAATGGGACTTGGAGTTGGGTCCACATCGATAGTAAAACGGTAGTCTTCTTCCAAGCTTTATCCCGATCGATGTGGATGCTTCTTCCCCTGCAAAGAAAAATGAATCTTCCTGGATTGCGAGCTCCAATGATGTCCTCCATCAAGCTTAGTCTTCTTCCTTAGATCCATGGCGGAAGCTTTTATCTATGGTTTGCAGCTCTGCTTCAACCACTACTGGAAAAACGGCTACAAAAATGCGCATGTTTTATGCGTTTTCTGCAATTTATGCAATGAATCAAAAATAAGAAACATGATGATCGATTTATTTGTTGCTTAATGTGAAAGTTAATTTTGAATTGCTGATTTCGGCTCGTTATAAGTGCTGATCGATAAATATGATAGTCCCATAACGCTGGTTAAACTTCCATTTCAAGAAGATGAGAGTTCATTGACTTGCTTGGTAAGGTGACGGTCGAGTGTCGACCATATTAAAGCTGTAGTAAATAGTACTCCTCCGGTCCTTAATATAGGATCCAATTGTTGAGTTGGTTTTGGTCCTAAATATAAAACCCATTTATCATATTTATCATTTTTCTCTAAATTATCCCTATGATACTATCTCAACCATAATCAAGTAGAAGAGAGAGATGGGGTATTAAGAAAGATGATTATGGTGTTTTAGGAAAAACATGTTATATTTCTTATAATTAACTAACTTACCTAATTTCATTAATCTAATCAAATTAGTTAAATGGGTCTTATATTAAGACCAGAGGAGTATTTGTTAAGTGTCAAAGATCTCTATTCAATTTGATGATGCAAATTGTCCCAATAACTAACTCGTCCAACAACGTTGTTCTTTAACATTTTTCAATGACGCCTGCTCATTTTCTTCTGTATATGAATGCTCCGTTTTGAACTTTCTTCCGGAAAAAAAAGAAGGAAAAAACATATACTTTACGCGTGAAAGTGGGGGCACATGGAATGAAAGCTCAATTATAAGACTAATGTCATGACGTTGTAGCTATGTGGTAGTTGATTTTATTACGTTACTGCATTTTCTCATATCGATGTCTTAATGAAAGTTCAGTTCAGGACCACTTAACAAGGACCACTTAACAAAGAATGAAAGACAGATTTATCCTCTTACGCGGAAACGAAGAAATATAAGTATATATGTATATGTAAATGCTGCTGAGATGTACAGCTTTTGCCTACAACCAAAGTTTGCTAGAGAGAGAGAGATATACATCAATGGCAAAATTACCAGTGATTGAGTTATTATTACACCTTGTCTGCTTGTTAATCTTAGTTTCTGTTGGGAGCAGTAATGGTGGCCACTTGATTATTGCTTGCCTCTGATTGAGAAGCTCTAAAGGACTTCAAAACTGGGCTTCAAGGTCATGGCAATGTGTTATCTTCTGTATATGAATGCTCCGTTTTGAACTTTCTTCCCCCGGGGGGGGGGGACATATACTTTACGCGTGAAAGTGGGGCCACATGTAATGAAAGCTCAATTATAAGACTAATGTCATGACGTTATAGCTATGTGGTAGTTGATTTTATTACGTTACTGCATTTTCTCATATCGATGTCTTAATGAAAGTTCAGTTCAGGACCACTTAACAAAGAATGAAAGACAGATTTATCCTCTTTAAGTTTCTAGGAGGAGTAGGCTGAAAATGAGAGCCCCTGCTTTTACAGGTAATGTGGCATGGGGACTTCTAGTTAGTGAAAACCATGAGTATGCACTAAAAAAAAAAAAAAAAAAAAAATCTTTTACCGATCACCATGTGGATGTTTACAACACGAGGGTGTTATATATGCGTGGACCTATGTCTTAGCATGTGTGCTGCACAAATATAGTATTGGTTTAGGCTTACAGCGTATGTAGCAACTTTTACTAAATGATATTACACTTTACATATTTTGAACATGTGAATATAAATTTTTCTTGTGGAACTCCAACTCCAAACCAAGTGACTTGGCTCGTAATTCTTTTAGAAAATATTTATCTTATATTTTTTTGAAGTGTCTGGTGAAGTCCTTCGTTAAAGAAAGGAAAAAACCAAACCTTTTGTGAATGCCTGTCAAAACTCAACACTGATCCTCTATAATGTGGGAAGGAAGCAGAACATTATAACTTTCTTTTCCGAGCAGAAATATATGCGGTCTTTATTGTACTTTTGTGAGATCTCCAATCATTTAACGCAATAATTCAGGGGGGGGGGAATCATTTTTAAACATGATCTTTACGCGCACCAAATGGGAAAATGCAGAAGAAGGTGATGGGTAATTTCCTTCGAACAAAAAACTAGCTCCCCAATAACTCTTAACGTGCTTCTCAAGGTGGGTGTTGACTATCATTTTCAGCTGTGGACCATGGCTATATAGTTGATTTTATACGATTTTGTTTTTTTCTCATCCCAATAATGTTCAGTTGGCGACCGTTTAACACGGAACAAGAAGGAATTTTATCGATGTTCCACGTAAACAAAGGTTCTGCTATATATATGCTACTGAGATGTGTAGCTTTGGTCTGCAACCGTAGCTTGCTAGAGATAAAGATACTTCAATGGGAAAACTACCAGTAATTGAGTTGTTCTTACTCTCGCTTTGCCTCTTAATAATCTCAGTTTCTGTTGGGAGTAGTGATGACCACTTGGTTACTTGCCTGGCCCCTGATCGTGAAGCTCTCATGGACTTCAAAACTGGGCTTCATGATCCAAATAATGTGCTATCTTCATGGAGGGGCAATAACTGTTGTGAATGGCATGGAATAGAGTGCGACAATAGTACAAAAGCAGTTGTTGCAGTTGATCTCCACCATCCGTATGTGTTTGATGACAGGTATGCGTTCTGGAACTTGAGTGGTGAGATAAGACCATCTTTGATGGGGCTCAAGTCACTAAGGCTTTTAGACTTGAGTTTTAACAACTTTGATGGCATTTCAATACCTGAATTCTTTGGTTCATTGGAGAATTTGCAATATCTGAACTTGTCAAATGCTGGTTTTAGTGGCCTCATTCCTGCACATTTGGGAAACTTATCTCACTTGAAAGTTCTTGATCTTGAAAAGAGAGCCGACTCATCGAATGAATTTTATGCTGATAATTTCCAATGGATAACTGGCCTCGTCTCTTTGGAACACCTTGTTATGGATCAGGTTAACCTTTCGTTGGTGAAAGACTGGGCTGGTGCATTAAATCAACTTCCTTCTATCGTTGAATTGCATCTATCTGGTTGTTACTTGTCTGGTTATATTCCATCAGTGCCTTCTTTGAATTTTTCTTCACTTGTTGTCATGGATCTTAGCTTTAACAACTTCTATTCAAAGATACCCGATGGGCTTGTAAATATAAGTAGCTTGCAACATATTGATATGACAAAAAGTAACCTGCATGGAAGAATACCGCTTGGTCTAGGAGAAATGCCAAATTTATTGTTGTTGGATTTAAGTTGGAATTATGATCTTACAGCAAACTGTTCCCAACTCTTTCAAAAAAGATGGGAAAAGATACAAGTTATTGATTTGTCAATCAATAATTTGTATGGAAAACTTCCCATGTCTTTGGGAGACATGACTTCTCTCACTAGACTTTATCTTGATTCTAATGCTATTGAGGGTGGTATTCCCAGCTCTACTGGAAAACTTTGCAA